TGCTTTTATATATGGAAAAAAAAAAACAGTAACATCAGGGGTTATGGAGTTTTTGTTTAGTCTGAGGTAAGTGGATGAGGGATTGAAAAAATATGACTGTCTGGTCACATAATCATGTTGTTGAAAACAAAATGCATACCCCAAACAAGTACAGGTATCTGTTTTATTAATTTGATTTAGAATATACCTTGGTAAGGTTTATCATCTACAGGTACATTGTTGATTTGGTTCTCTAAAAAACCGAATACAATAATAGTGCTAAATATATCAAGTCCATCTTTGGTTTGAAAAACAATGTGATTCAGATATAGACCGTTTCAGGGAAGCACACTAACAAACTTAAACACATGAATCTGTAGCTAATACAAGCATTGACCCTCGAACACAGTTAATTTGTCTCACTCACAAAGAAGTAATAAATACACTTCAGAAGTGATAAATAAAGTTTCTGATCATAAATGATTTAGATGCCACCTTCTGGCTCTCATGCATGACAAAAGCAACTTTGTTGCTGTTTAACACAGAAAGATTGATTGATTTGTGCCCTCTCAGAAGAGTACTTGACCACAATTTTACGGTCTCATTGACTATGAGTGTTCAGCAAATCCTACAAGAAAGAAATTCAAAAGGAAATCTAAAACACTGTTTAGAAAATAACAACAACACTTAGGAGCCTACACGGAGAACAAAAATGTCAGTAGGTGTTTTCCCATTGATGCAACAATTATTTATAGTTTATGTAAGGGAAAAGTACAAATTTATTCGAGTCTCTTCAGTGCCTTCGAATACAAGGTGCGAGGAGCGGCGTGAGGCGATTGTATTCACTGGATATGTAATATAGTAGTTATATTTCAACATTAAACGATGAGCGAAATTAACATACTGCTTTACGAACAATATAGCAGGGTTAATCTAGGATATTACTTGAGCGAAACAGTTCTCAACACAAACTTGTCGGTCGATTAGAACTTTACACACCGTGTGCGTACACTTGCTCGGCGCCAGCTCCGAACGTAGTTAGTTTCAGCCATTTCAAATGAAATTTATGACTGAAAAATAACAGCATTCAGTCTGTAACTATGCCTATGCCGCAATTCCATCCTTAAAACATCTGTCAATCGTAGTTAAGAATAGAAACAAGAAGAAACCTTCATAACAAAGGCGTCCCAAAACAGTCGCCAAGTGTACCAAATATGGCTCTGGTAAGGTCAATTTTTGGGACGCAATTTTCTCAAAGACAAGGACAAATCCAAGGACAAGAAGTGCTTACCTTGAAGGTTCAAGTGTGGCTTTGAAGGATCGCCATCGCCGTAAGACAACAAACGAAGGAAAAAATACCCACCAAAAATTAAAGTACCACTAAAAAATCCGAAAAAGAACAACATGCCGGCAAAGAAACCCTACATTTCGACTGGTTTACGCCACATTTTCGCCATCGTTTCGTCACAAATCTCCACTATGATGGAACCATCCAACGCCATCTTGGAGCACGAACCAACCAATAGGCGATAAGAAATCAGCCCACGTGACATAAGTTTCCTATCCAGTCTTGCTATTATCCATGATTTAACTCACCTTCAAACGACTGAACGCTTTCAAACCTAGTAGCAATTAAGCACTCATTTCATGGTCCAACGCATTTT